ACGCCCGTGAAATATTTGGCATGCTAAATATCTGGAGCTGTCGGCGATTCACAATCACGCTGTGTGAAATGATTTCTGACTGAAAAACACATCGGCGATGACCTACAGCCAATGAGAGAACAAGATACAGGGCAGAGGGAAGTTTGTTGTGAAACGTAGTTTGCGGACCAGACAGAGCTGTCGGCGATTCTCCCTATCGTGAAGTCATGCAGTGTGAAACCCCCTGTCGCCGATCCATCGTGCAGTGTGAACACAGCAGCAACTGAATGCTACCCCAGATAGTCACGCAGTGTGAAAACAACGGCGATCCGACGAGTTTGAAAATCGTGCAGTGTGAACTCGGCATAAGAGGATCTCAGCAGTGTAAGGACTGCTCTGGATGACAGATAAATCTAACCAGAAATGAATTCCTCATACAACAGTGTCTGGTTCTTATCCTCTCCAGACCAGCAGAAAACCTTCTACGACCCTTGACCTTGGAGGAAGTGTGAGCAAGTAGACCAGATATATCCAGTTTATTCTCCATCAGCAGGAAAATCACAGAAATTATCAACATGCAAGACTCGATTCACACACCCTCAGCACAGACCGTTCATTGAAAATAAAGATTTGCACACAGACAAGCAAGTCAGTCACCAATGATCCAGAAACAGTGAAATCAATCGGTTTCACACTCACATATGCACTCACACACTTACATATAGACATCAAAGTACTTGATAAAAAAAGTCTCTGTGCATTAATACAGTTTGTTCCACATTATCTGCATGTGGGTACGAGGAGATTTTAAAATTTGGGCTGGTTTCGGTTTAATATCTCTTCATTCAAAAATCAGTTCTTCACATTTTATAAGGTCTCCCTAAGATCACGTTTCTCTCTTTGCTTTAAAAATCTATAGCTCGTTGACTGAGGACTTTCTAACTGTGCCTTTGTTATTGCAGATAAATGGGGTTCTCTTGTCTCTACACCAGTCATACACCAACACAATAGTATTTCTATAATATAAATCAATATATAACATACATATAGAATAGTCTCGTATCTTTAAGTCCACAGTTGGTCAAAGGGATGAATCGGAGGTTAAAGATCACAATACACATGTTCATCCTGAAGACGAACTTGAACTTGAGATTCAAGAAACAACCTCATGTTCAAAAATATGACCATCTACGAACATTTCTTTATGGCACCAACTTCCTGAACAATTTAATAGTGTTCTTTACTTTTTATCATACATACAAAGAATACACATACTTGCAAATATTTCAAGCAATAAAATCTTGGAAAGCAATGAATGTAAAGGAATGGTGAAAAATAAGTATTTTAAGGTTGTAGTCAGTCCCAAACGCCACTGAAATGCTTTGGTATATCCTCCTGCTAAAGATATCAAACTGAACTGCACTCAAAATGTAACGGTTTAAACGAAATTCAACTACCAACACAATGAAAAACTAAAGAAATCCATGCGTCTCTATTACCTGGCACAACAATATGCATAAAATCCCTGTTCTGTCATTCTTGGCAAAAGCTTCTGTCAGTTGCTGGTCAGTGGACAGCACACGGTTAAGAAGTGATGGCCATCTTCCAATTCCGTGATGACATGAGAAAGTACAACTGTCCTTCTACTTGTCAGACCCATTCCTCCAGAGTAGAGACGGATAGGAGCGAAAGCAAAGCGATCACTATCAACACAAGTCAAGCAAACCAACACTTTTCTGATACATGATTGAAATTAAGAGATGAATAAATGTTCCTAATGTATTTATCTTACGCAACAGTTTTTTCCGTTAAAATCTTCACCTTTTCCTGCAGCTCTCAGTCTGTTTGTCTGCAACAAGCCTGTGCATGATGTAGTGTAGCTGAATTCATTTGTGTTTGTGTGTGCGCTCAAAAGAATGAGGAAGATGATGGACAGGGGAGCATTGGCGCCACCCGGTGGCTCAGTCTGCGTAATGCATGATGGAGTCCACGTAGTTCCCGGGGAAGAGGCCCGTGGTGCCACTCATCACTCCCTCGAACCAGCCGTCGTCGTTCTTCTTGATGACGTAAATGATCGCCCCCTCCTGGAAGGATAGCTCGTCTTCTTTGTCGCACGTGTAGTCGTAAATCGCCACCACTGATGGGAATGGTGTGATAAAAATAAGAAAAACAATGTCTGGTTATGTTTTTATTGTAATTACGTATTACAGCATGACAGACTGTGCTACACTCTAAATATTGTATATTGTGATGCTGTTGTTATAAACAACTGATCAGCTGTGAATATACTCCTCTCATATCTTACTGCTATTTAAAGAATATTTACTACATAATAAAAAATGTAACGAAAAATTTTTAAGAATGCACAATATATCTGCATCATATCGGTTATAGGCCGATATTACAGATTTTTTTCTCCATTTATCTCTATAGTGAATATAAAATACTTACATATTCACTATAGAGCTGAATGGGAAAAAAAATCGGTAATATCGGCCTATAACCGATATGATGCAGATTGTATTACATTGTAATTATGTATGCCACTGTTAAATGTAGTATTATTTTTTTTAATGTCTATATAGTTTTTATTCATTTTATTTCAGTTTTACTTATTTTAGTTCATCAAGTTAAACTAAATTAAAATGAGAAATGTTGCCTTGAAAACTTTATTTCAGTCAATATTTATTATTTATTTCAAGTTTATTTCAAATAATGTTTTATTTTTTTAATGATGTTCAGTTTTAGTTGTAATAATGTAATAACACTGTATCCATTTTTCATACTGTACATTACTGCCTAAATTTACTTTTAATATTTAAAATGATTTTTTGGTTTTGTGTTTTATTTTTATGTAGTTTTTATTTCAATTATGTATATATTTAGTATTTACTTGTAATATAAGTGACTGATTTGAATTTTTAGTGTTTCTTTTTATTCATGTAGTTTTTATTATATTATTTCATTTATATATTACTATATTTACTTATCATGTATGGGTCATTGGCCATAATATAAAAATAATTTGCACTGGCCAGATTTTTAATACCCTACAAATTAAATTAAAATTTAAAACCCTACAATTTTTTATAGAAGCACATTTCCACTACAAGGAAAAAAAAAATCACATTTTGGTAAATAAAGACATAATTATGACATAAAAAGTCATCAGCTAAAATTCACAATGACACAAGAAATTTTGACTTATGTCATTGAGTTTTTATCTCATAATGTCACTAATTTTGACTTGTCGATTCCAACTTTTTATGTCATAATTATGATTTACCAAAGCTTGATTTTCTTTTTCTTGTGTAGCAAAAATGGGCTACCACATATTTTCAATAAAACGTATAAACTGTAAAAAAAAATAATAATAATTGAGCTAAACAAGTAACATTTATGATAACGTTGTCAGATTTCATTGCTGATCTGATATACATTATTGAAATGCAATCATGACCAACAGTGTTTTTTGATCCTTCTCCATTCAAATCGATAGGAGCATTCCTACATGGCCAAACCAGTGTTTACTGTACACTCTGAGAAACAGCTAAAAATAAAAGCTAAAAACAGTAGCGTACCTTTCTCCAGGTAATTGCGAGGGGCCCATGGCGGGTCTTCTTCAGCGTAGGGGTCACTGTACTCCACCACCGCTGACTCTTCCTCATCATCACCCTCCTCATCCTCATAGTCCTCTGGAGGAGGTGGAGGCGGGGTTGCTTCCTCAAACTCCACCTCTTCTGCAGGAGGCGGCGGTGGAGGAGCGTCTGAGACTAAAGGTATGAACAAATAATCTCAGACACAAGCTATTTCTGGGAGAATTGGCTAACTTCTTTTAGCTGATGTGAGACAAATGACTCATGCTGGATGGGGAAGGAGGAAAATGTGTTAATACAGAAATTAGGGAGTATTAAATTTAGAGAGGGCAGAATTACCACTGACCTCAAAACAGCAGTAATAAGCAATTTTTTTTGAAAAGGGAACTTCACTAAGGCCATGTACACACTACAGATAAATAAGGTCCAAGGTAGTGTTTTCTCCACCACAACATCTAATAAATTATACTTTTAACGCTTTCAGTCTGAATGAAATGTTATGAGATGAAACAAAACAAATGATTAGTCTGATTCTTATATGCCCGTTCTATAGAATTACTCAAAGAGTTAGCAGTAACTGAACCTTAAGTCATTACTTTGAGTCATGTCTGACTTGAAATGAAACAAGAAGTGTATTTACAGAACGTAGGCTGTTAAACAGCAACAGCTGAAAAATTCCATTGTCACTTTATTAGAAAAAATATTTCAGTGTGTACGTGGCCTAACACTCCTCACCAGACAATCACAGGTACTGATTACGTGCTTTGTATAATCTTACAAGGGTTTAATTTTATTTTGATTATCAATGTGTGTAACTTTTTAATAACCATAATGAAAGCGACAATGGATAATTTAGCTCAAATCTTGGGAAACAAGAACGTTCTAACTGTAATCTCTGAGTCACTAAGTATGTATATTGAATAATGTTAAAATGGATTTTTATTTTTATGAATTTAATCATGTACTCAATTTCAATTTCCACATGCTCTTCTGATTGGCTGTGATTTGTGGTTGATTTTGTTGCATCTTGTAACCATGTCACATCTGGAGTGGACAGACAAATTACTTGTTGCTGAAATCTTATCTTATTGGGTCTGGTTAGGACACACTGTTGGAAATTCCCCGCATGTCTTAAAGGGCTCATCGGATGAACATTTTCCACAAGTTGGCATGATTTATTAGGGTCTTCATGAAATGTCTGTAACATATTTTGCTTAAAAACACTCAATGGCTGTGTAAACAACACCCTTTTTGCCTTGTCAAAAACAGCTCTGCTCACACCAACCCGTTTTGGTGTATGCCTCTTTAAATGATAATGAGTTACTGTGCACCCCAGCCCCCTTCCGGGATTTCCACTAAAAATAAAATAAATCCACTCCTCTCTTGTCTCCTCTGAGGCTGGGACTCTAAATAATTATTTGTGTTCGTCTGTGCAGCCAATGACAGAACATTTAGCATGTTTTCCGCAAACTTTTGCCATGGCGTCAGAACAAGTACACCGCTGTTGCTTCAGAAAACAACAATGGCGGCTGAGCGCCGTGGGTGCAAACGTGCAGATTAATGGGCGGTAATATTATAATAAGAACCCCTTCCTACGTCAGAGGGGGAGAGCAATCTGATCGGCTCGTTTTCTCACATGCTTGCAAAACCAAATTTACTGGGTTCTTCTTTTTCACGTTTTCTGAGTTGGTAGATGCACCGGACACTCAATTATAGCACTTAAACACGGAAAAAGTCAGATTTTCATCCGATGAACCCCTTAACACTATGTTCTAGCAAGTAAAGTCTGTAACTCCGTGTACTGGAAGCTTGTGACACTATAACAAATTCCTTGTATGTGCAAACATACTTGGCAATAAAGCTCTTTCTGATTCTTGATTCTGATTAATGGATCAAATCAGATGTGAAGTAACATGCAACAGATCTGCGAAATACAATGAGACATTTTAATATATAAACACAAACATGCACGTTTAAAGAGCATGCAAAACCTGTTAAACACTAAAAAAAAAAAAAACAATTAATCTACCACAGACACATTTGCATGGATGCCCGTTTTTGTCATGAAATAAAAAAGGTAATTGTGACTTTCTCACAATTCAGAGTTTTTTCTTGTAATTCCAAGTTTACATCTCACAATTATGACTTTTTCACTCTGATTTATGAGTTTACATCTCACAATTCTTCAACCATGAAATGAATAAAAAAGGTAATTGCGACTTTTCATTTCACAATTTTCTTGCAATTGTAAGTGTATATTTCACCTTTTTTACTCAGAATTGGGGGGGGAAAAAAAGTCAGATTTGTGACCCTGGACCACAAAACCAGTCTTAAGGGCTTTTCACACTGAAAGCGAAAATTCGGTGTGAATGTCCGGCGTGATGGCGCTTTTGCTCTATGGGACTATTCACACTAGGCGCGATCATTCGCGGTGCGAAAAAGCGAGGATTGTTTTTTCGTCCTGTGTGTCGATTTTTTCCCCGTCGCTCCACGATGAAACGGGCCGTCCAATCAGATTTGAGCTTAGATCACGTTCCCAGAGCAGCTGCTGTTGCACAAAAGGGTGAGGGCGGTGGCGCTGTTTCGAAAACCAGTGTAAACAAACACCGAAGAAGAGTATCCCGGTAGAGAGAAGTGGATGCTGAGTTCTTGTTATCTTTGGTATCTGAGAACAGATTTATTCTCACATGTTCTTAATATAATTTCTAAATTCTCCATTGAATTATGTGATCTGGAGTGTCCGTTTTATTCCACTTGCGCGAGTGTTATTAGTCAGAGCGCGTTAACTCTCCAGAGTCTAGATCTTCCGTGTTTAAAAAAAACGAGTGAAACATTTTTGTACACATGAAATATGAAAGCAAATAGACTTATGAGTATGACGATATATTTTCTGTATGTGTTTTGTATGCAGCTCATGGTCATTTTATAACAATAAAGGATATTTATGACAATAAGCAGTGTGGCGTTATTAAACATAGCCTACAAAGAGTGCATGTCTGCCTATTATAGAATCAAAATCAACTATAGATCACAATCGGAAGTTATTACAAGCACTCGATGATGGTTTATAGTGGGTTTTAAGCAAAAACAATAATCACATTTTCAAATGTGGCTTGATGCTAATTGTACTTATATATGTACTTTATATTTTAAGATGTTTTCTTGTAAGCATTATATATAGTTTGTGTTTCTGGCGTAGAACCAAACTTTATTTAGCTATATTTAATGCTGTATATTGAGCAGTGGACGATGTTAAATCCATATATGAGATACATATCGGATTAAAAATGCATTGCTGGTCGGCACCACCTAGCGTGCAGACGTGAATTAGCAGAAGGCGATCAATCGTTTAGTGCTCGGTGTGAAAGCAACGTTCGTCGGCGATTCGCCTCGCTTTTTCGCCTCGCGCTCAGTGTGAAACGGCCTTTAAGTGTCAATTTTTCGCATCATCTAAAATCTGAATAAATAAGCTTTCCATTGATGTATGGTTTATTAGGATCGGACAATATTTGGCCGAGATACAACTATTTGAAAATCTGGAATCTGAGAGTGCAAAAAAAATCAAAATATTGAGAAAATCGCCTTTAAAGTTGTCCAAATGAAGTCCTTAGCAATGCATATTACTAATCAAAAATGAAGTTTTTATATATTTATGGTAGGAAATTTACAAAATATCTTCATAGAACATGATCTTTACTTAAAGGGGTCA